AAGAATAGGTACTTATAAAATTATGTCCCTTTAATCTAATGTGACCGCCTACGAGCCGACGTCGATTTGATGTGTGAACGCCGCTTTGTCGGCTGACTGTCGGACAACGCTATAAAACGGAGTATCGGCAATGGGTCGGCAACCGCTGAGTCGTTATTTGACGTCGGCCCTACGTCAGTTAGACATCGTAATCCGCTTGTCCGCCTTGCCGACTCAATGCCGCACAGTCAGCCGAGGAAGTCATGCTGTCTGGGCTCTTCTTCAGAGACCCGCTTTTTCTTTATAATAATGTCATGTATCATGGTGCCACCAAAGATCGTGTAGTAGAGAATCTTTGGTGCCACTGACAATTTGAACCGGTTTTTTTTTTGGCGTGTTTTTTTCTTCTCAGTGATTGTCCTCTTTAACTCTTTAAGGACGTAAAAGCCTGGCGTCGGTGGCCTAGTGGTTAGGCTCTCGGACTCGCAACAGTAAGGTCGTGGGTTCGAATCCCGTCAGGCCCGACGTTGTGTCCTTGGGAAAGGCATTTTACACGAATTTTCCTCACTTCACCCAGGTGGGAATGGGTACCCGGCTATAGACAGCGAAAGATCTTGTCAGTTTGTTAGTGTTTGAGCGCTTAATCGGCTGCTTGCACTGTATGCTTCTCGGGAAGCTGAGAATGTTTCGGAGTGTTCTATGGTCTGCTGGGGTAATAATATAGTGTAAAGCGCATAGAGCCTGCTGCTGAGTGGGGATATGCGCTATACAAATGCTATCTATTATTATTATTATTATTATTATTATTATTATTATTATTATTATTATTATTAAAAGACACATAATACGTCCGACCAGCCGCAGAGAAATATAGTATGCAACATTTCAGCTCCAGGCCTACGTTCCGAACCATCATAAACAAATCAGAAAAATACGTTTTCTTATTTCATGGCTTGCATACTACTTGTACGTATTTCAAGCATCTAAATATGAGGCAGCGTGGTGGAATCAGGCTCTCGTCAAAATAATGAAATCGAAAAAAACAGCAGTTTTCTCCCTGCTTAGCAATTTTTATCCATTTTTTGGCTCAACACCTTTTATATCCATTTACAAACATTCCTTTGAGGATTTCACAGAAAACGTTGATTAAAGGCACACAAATATAAATGTACAGTTTCAATGGACTCTCCAGCTTTGGAATTTACCAAGATTTGGCGGCCATTTTCTCGCTGATTTTACATCTTAAATCAGGTGACCCCCACCTCCTTCAATCCAAAATATCTCCACTTCTATTGAAGATGGGTGGGTAATTTTTTCATTGACAGCAAGACAAATGAACAAGCTTTAAGATGATACCAATAACTCAATATGCCCAAAAATTGACGAAAGCATGATTCCACCACGCTGCCTCACAAATGTTTCAGATAAAGAAACAAAATAGAAAAATGTTTTTACTCCCTGGGCGGGTGTTACTGACTGAAGTGTCTTTAGGCCGTTCCCAAAAGGGGGGGGGGGGGGGGAGGCGGGGTATTAACCTGTTCTTATGCACAGTAGAATTGTAAATGGGCTGATTCATCAATGTCAAGCTCATAACTGTGCCTGAACTGCAAAAGGGAACTGCTGCTTTTTCTTTCCTAATCCTTACTATCGTCATTTTTCCTCTACTTCTTGTGTATGTTTGTCACTCTCTTGTGACCCGCTATTTCCGGGGTGCCTTGATAGTCGAAGCAGACTTTGTGCTGTTGAAGCTAGAATGTTGAACAGAGTAAGCCTGATTCACTGTTAGGACTTGTGTAAAACCTTACTACAAATAAAAAATAAATAAATAAATAAAATAAAATAAATAAATAAAACATGTTTGAACAGTGAAGTTATGGTCCAAAACAGTTGAGCATCTTCACCAATTGTCGAAAGACCAGAATGCACGTCTTCTACGACTTAACTCTATATAATATAAGGATGAAACGAACACATGCCTAATACTGTAATATCAAAATTTATGTCTAATCAGCGGAGAAGAATAAATGATAGGGTAAGGTTGCGATACACTTTGAACCATCATGCACAAATAAGAAACACTGACTTACAGATTTCATAACAGATATATAATAATAATTTAAAAAAATAAAATAATAATAATGATAATAATAATAATAGTAATAATAATAATAATAATAATAGTAATAATAATAATAATAATAATAATAATAATAATAATAATAATAATAATAATAATAATAATAATAATAATAATAATAATAGTAATAGTAATAATAATAATAATAATAATAGTAATAATAATAATAATAATAATAATAATAATAATAATAATAATAATAATAATAATAATAGTAATAATAATAATAATAATAATAATAATAATAATAATAATAATAATAATAATAATAATAACAATAATAATAATAATAATAATAATAATAATAATAATAATATATAACATTTATATAGCGCATTTCCCCCAAAAAAGTAGCTCAATGCGCTTTACATTGGAATACCCATTTTTCAAAAACCTTTCTTACTACTTCCTTTCTTCTCATGCAATATATACATTAATACACACACACACACACACACACACACACACACACACACACACACACACACACACACACACACACACACACACACACACACACACACACACACACACACACACACAGAGACTATTTTCATCCAGACATAGGAACAGAACAACTATAATGAAAGATAACGTTAAAAGCTTATGAAGGATAGGCCTGTAGGAACAGAAAATGTTTAAGGTGTCTTTTGAAGCTATCACGTGTTCTTATTTGTCTTAGTTTCATGGGTAATCTGTTCCACATAAATGGACCAAGATATGAGAAAGATCTCTCTCCATATGATTTGTATGATTTTACAGGTGTCACAAGTAGGGTGTTATCGTTTGATGATCTTAGGTTTCTCCCTGGTTTATATATATATATCGTGTTGCCTGACATTTAAAAATTCGGGTAAAGAAAACAGAATTGAAAAGTTCATTATGCAATGCCTTATACGTAAGCCAGTATAATAATGTCGTATCAGAATTTCGTTTATTAAAAAAAGATAGATCAAGTGTATAATTCGATCTCCCTTAATTTATATCCAAATCATTGAAAAGAGTAGCCTACAATGTTATAGCACCTCGGGACAGGCAAGTTATAAAAACGGGGGTGGATGCGCGCGCGCGCGTGTGTGTGTGTGTGTGTGTGTGTGTGTTTGCTTGTGTGTGAGAGAGAGAGAGAGAGAGAGAGAGAGAGAGAGAGAGAGAGAGAGAGAGAGAG